AATTACGAAAGTTAGGGACTATAAGTGCTGAAACCACCAAACTCGATAGACCTTAGCTGGTATTTACTCTATGTATATATATATATGTATATATATATATATATATATATATATATATATATATATATATATATATATATATATATATATATATATATATATACATATATATATATATACATATATATATATATATATATATATACATATATATACATATATATATATACATATATATACATATACATATATACATATATACATATATATATATATACATATATATACATATACATATATACATATATACATATATATATATATATACATATATATATATACATATATATATATATATATATATATATATATAGGGTTGAGTTTAAATGAGGACAACAATATATAGAGGACTGTGAGGACAAATAATGGGCACACAACAAATTAATACCAGGCACACAACTTAATACATAATGGCACACAAGAATAAATGTAACCATCAGGTTTCGAACCCAGACTCTATAAATTAACAAATCTAGCACGCGACATACAAACTGTGGCACACGACTACATTCGGCCATGCACACAACATACCGGCTAATGGCACACACTACATCTGTCCTCACAGTCCTCTATAATATACTTGTCCTCATTTGAATACACATCTATACATACATACATATATATATATATATATATATATATATATATATATATATATATATATATATATATATATATATATATATATATATATATATATATATATATAGGGAAGGGTTCACAAGCGGGAAAGGGTTCCCGTGCAGTTAACGCACCTTAAGCATTTAAATGGCGCACCTTAAGAATACAAATCACGTACCTAAGATTTTAAAATGGCTCACCTTAGGTTTTACACAACTGACGCACCTTAAGCATACAAATCACGCATCTTAAGAAGGAAAACAACGCATCTTAAGATGGAAAACTACGCACCTTAAGTTTCAACAACGACTCACATTAATCACAAAACTCACATATCTTAAGCACAAAACTCACCACCTTAAGCACAAAAACCACGTACCTTAAGAAAGAAAACCACGCACCTGGCGCACCAACCGCATTCGAACCTAATTATATATATATATATATATATATATATATATATATATATATATATATATATATATATATATATATATATATATATATATATATATATATGTAACATTTTCCCTTAATATTATTATTATTATTATTATTAAGATTATTATAACATTAATAATATTAAATAAGTGGTGCAAATCAATAGGCTGACTAAGTTAGAACTTAGTCAGCATTAGGTAATTAGTTACCTACATTGAAGGGATGTAGGTTATTTAGACTCCCAAGACTTCTCACTGCCCAGTTGACGTATCATACACCATCTACAGTCACTGAGAGAAGTGAGAGAAACACAATAGAATCTACAGTGATTCTACGGTAACATTACAGCAGCCCGAGGGACTCCCGCCCGTCAGACTACTAGTCCAGGCGATCAAGGTTCTATCAGAAATATAAGCTATGGCTCGAGGTTAGTGGTCCTAACTTTTGTTTATTACCACGTATATAGTATGCTTTACGTGGATCAATGTGCTTACATTTGGTATCAGTGCCATTTTTTTTATCTCTGCCTAGCCTTTTAATTAAATTGCATAATACAGCTACATATGATATACTTTTTGTATAATTTAGGATTTGTATGTAATGTGCAATTATGTTTCTTGGGCTGCTGGAAATATTTGTGTAAATCTTTTCCGCATTTAGAATTCAAAAAAAAATAAAAATAAAAATTTTGCAATTGTTTTTTTTTTCCGGACTGGACTGCTACAAAGCATTATTCATGGACTGTTCATCCGCCGGATTTGATTCGCCGGTGATGGACGGTGTTCGCCGGATTTGGTTCGCTGGTGATGGACGGTGTTCTGGTGGCGCCGGCTGACTATCCACGCAGAGGACGGCGGTGGTGGCGGAACTGGGTTGTTTCCGGTGGTGAAGCCATGACTGTCTCCTCCTTCAGGGGATCGGTGGTGGCCGGTGACGGAGACAGGGGCACAGCGTGGCGACGGTTTGCGACCCGTCCGTCGGTGGTGACGGAGTCGCATCTGCTTCTCCGTTTCTACTTCTCCGCTCCGGCTTCTCCGCTTCTGTTCTCTGATTTGCGTAGCAGTAGCAGATGAAGAAGATGATGGTTTAATTCTTTAATGGGCCGGGTCTGGCCCAATTCGACCAGACCTAGGCTCCATTATAAAAAAAAAAAAAAAAAAACTTTGGTTATGGGCTTGTGCTTTTGGGCTTCCTGAATTTTTTTTTGTTCATCACATTTGGCTTCTTCTTATGTGTTTTATTCAATTGATTGTTTTGCCTAGAGTTGATATTAAATTATAATTCTTTTGAACAAATTATTATGTTTCAATTTGTTTGAATTTTAATTTAATATTGAATTTCAGTTTAAATAGTATTCAGTATTACAATTTAATTGTGGAGCATGAGTTATAATATGCATAATCTGAGCATGTATTACTGTTTATTTCATTAATTATTTCGTTGTTATAATTATGCATATGTTAGAAAATCATGTTCTTTTAAGTATGAATTTAGTGCCTTTTAAGTCTGAATTATATGCCTATTATGCATGTTATATTGCCTTTTAGGTGAATTTAGTGCCTTTTAAGGATAGATTACGCATATTATTTTACTCATTCGGTTATTGCTCCGCTCGTGCCTTTCTAAAGCTATAAAGCACATAAAGTACATCAAAGTTCTAGTTTACCCAAATTTAAAGCCTTATCCATAGGTTTATGACCATCTTATAGATCTTTCAAACAATTTTACTTCAAATATGAGAATACATGACTTAGGGAAGTTTCTTGGGGAGGTATACTAGTTCTATGGCCCTGGCTTAAAAGCCTTGTTGCTACTAGTCCCCTTGCAACGCTACTCTGTCTAAGGAGTTGGTATTTAACCGAGCTTCGTCTCGACCAACTTTCCTGGGAGTATACCTAAAGATTGTCTATCATGTTTTGGTTTAATTTGTTTGCTAGGCTTTAAATTACCCTTTACCAAGTGATTACAATTTTGTAGTTAAAGAGTAGCCACAACATCTTTAATTGCTTAAATTGTATTTAGATTAACTCACATAAAGAGTTGGCAATATCCTTGTAATTAATTCTATTTGATATGGCAAAATTTAGCCCACAGGCAATTTTGTTGTATTTGTAGGATTGATTAGGATGAAATGCCAGACCATGATCATAATTTGCCCACAGGGATTATGTATCGGCATATAGTTTTGGTAGTTTTGTCATCAAGGGTGGAAACGTCCAAAACGTACCCATTCTTGTTTTCACCATTCAGTTTGGTAAATTCATTGTGTGTAAAAATTTAGCCCACATGCAATTTTTATGGCATTTGAATTTATCTTTTGCATAAGTTTGCATTGGAAAAATATGCACTTTAGTTCCTTTGTGCCGCGAAAATCAAAACTAACAAACTCGTAATTTCCTTTCAGAAACTATCCCAACTGTCTCACACATTCATGTTCCAATGCTTACTCCTAATAATCATAGAGAGTGGAATGATGAGCTTCTGATCTACTTTAGCATGAATGAGATGGATTATGCTGTTAACCATCCAGAGCCCCCGGCCATAACCGCGACAAGCACTAAAGAAGCCAAAGACCTTTGGGCTAAATGGGAACGGTCCAATCGCCTGTGCATGTTTTTCATTAAGTCTCGGGTTCCGAGTGATATACGCCGCACGGTTGATAAGCTTAAAACAGCTCGAGAGTGTATTGAGTCCATTGACAAGAAGTTTGAGACTTCAGACAAATCCCTAGCAAGCACCTTAATAATGCAGTTTACATCCCTTCGTTTTTCTCATGTCGATGGTGTGCGCAGTCACATCATGCAACTTAGTGATATTGCAACTCAACTTGACAAGTTGGAGATCAAGCTGCCAGACTCATTTGTGGTACATTTTGCACTAAACACTCTCCCTCCTGAGTATAACACCTTCAAAATTGCTTATAATACACATGAAAAGAAATGGACTATTAATGATCTAATTAATAAGTGTGTGCAAGAAGAAGGGCGACTACGTCAGGAACAAAGGGGGGAGAGTGCCATGCTTGCAATAGCCAAGCCTAAAGAGAGATCTGGAAAGCGCCACACTGCAGCTAAAGGGAAAGCAAAGTTATCCCCTCAGACTGACATTAAGAAGGCACAGAAATGCTTCTTCTGTAAGAAGAAGGGGCATATGAAGAAGGACTGTGCGAAGTTTAAAAAGTGGATGTCTGAAAAAGGTATGATCTGGATGTCTGAAAAAGGTATGATCTGGATGTCTGAAAAAGGTATGATCTGGATGTCTGAAAAAGGTATGATCTCTTCCTTTGTCTGTTTTGAATCCAATATGTCAGACGTTAATGCTAACACTTGGTGGATTGATTCTGGTTCAACAATCCACATTGCAAATTCTTTACAGGATATGCAAAATCTGAGGCAACCGATGTCAAATGAGCGAAACATCTTCTCCGGAAATAAGATGGGCTCGCTGGTTGAAGCTGTAGGGACTTGCAGGCTGATTTTAGACAGTGGTTTTGTTTTGAATTTAGAGAGGACATTTTACGTACCAACTTTTTCACGAAATTTGGTTTCCATTTCAAGACTTATACCGTTGGGATTCAGTTTTAATTTTTCAGACAAGTATTTTAAATTATTTAATAATTCTACTTGTATTGGAAATGGTACACTGTCGGATGGTCTTTATCGTCTTCACTTTCTACTCTAGACTATACTGACTTTGAGACTTGTATAGACTGCATTAAAGGCAAGCAGACTAACAAGTCAAAGAAAGGTGCCAATAGAAGTTCAACATTGTTAGAGATAATTCATACTGACATATGCTGTCCAGATATGGATATGCAAGGTCAGAAATATTTCATTACCTTTATAGATGACTTCTCTAGATTTACCTATGTGTATTTACTTCATCATAAGTATGAAGCATTGGATGCCTTTAAAACATTTAAGGCTGAAGTTGAAAACCAATGCAAGAAGAAAATACAAATAGTTAGGTTAGATAGAGGCGGTGAATATTATGGTAGATACACTGAAAATGGACAAGCTTTGGGTCCGTTTGCTAATTTCCTTCAAGAGCATGGGATTGTTGCCCAATACACCATGCCGGGTTCCCCGGATCAAAATGGTGTTGCTGAAAGAAGAAATCAGACACTTTTGGACATGGTGTGGAGTATGCTAAGCAACTCCACACTTCCAAAATCATTGTGGGCCGACGCCATCAAGACGGCAACGTATATATTAAATCGGGTTCCGACCAAGGCTGTCCCTAAGACACCTTTTGAGCTTTTCAAAGGTTGGAAACCGAGTTTGCATCATATGCGTGTTTGGGGTTGTCCGTCTGAGGTGAGGATTTATAACCCACATGAAAAGAAACATGACCCGAGGACTATAAGTGCTTTCTTTATTGGGTATGCACAGTCTTCTAAGGGTTATAGGTTTTATTGTCCAAAACATCTGACTAGGATAGTGGAATTGCAAAATGCTAAGTTTCTTGAAGATGACTTGATCAGTGGGAGAGATCGATTTAAGGACTTAGTTCCTTTATTTGATCATGTTGACTCTTGCCCTTCAACGTCATCTAATGGAGTTGTACTTATACGCAACGCGCCTACAATCCCGCCTGCGATTGTACAACCCGTTGTTGAGATTCCACAAGCTGTTGAAACTCAACCATTGGAAGAACAAGTTTAGGACTTACAGCAACCTCCTGAACTAGACTTCGAGCCAATGGTTGAACCAATTCAGGATTTTCAGCAAGATCCTGAACCCGCACAGACCGAAGTTGAACCAGTTCAAGAACTACATCCATTTCCTGAAGAGGTAGTTGGGCCACAACCTTCACAAGGTACTGGTGTTCCAACATTAAGACGGTCTACTCGAGTGAGGCGTTCAGCAGTTCCTAGCTATTATGTATCGTATCTACAAGAATCTGACATTGGAGCTGAAAATGATCTCGTAACGTTTTCACAAGCTACGAATTGTGCACAGTCCGATTTGTGGTTAGAAGCCATGAAAGATGAAATGAATTCCATGAAGAGTAATGGAGTTTGGAACCTTGTTGAGTTACCTAATGGGCCCAAGCCGATTGGCTGTAAATTGGTATTTAAAACCAAAAGAGACTCATTAGGTAACATTGAGAGGTACAAGGCCAGACTCGTTGCTAAGGGCTTTACTCAAAAAGAAGGAATTGATTACAAGGAGACCTTTTCTCCTTTATCAAAGAAAGATTCTCTTCGAATCATTCTGGCTTTAGTTGCACACTTTAATCTTGAGTTGCAACAAATGGATGTGAAAACCGCGTTCCTAAATGGTGATCTAGAAGAGGAAGTTTATGTGAAACAACCTGAAGGTTTCTCTTCTAGAGGTGGTGAGGATTTGGTGTGTAGGCTTAGGAAGTCCATATACGGTTTAAAACAAGCCTCTCGTCAGTGGTATATTAAGTTTGACGGGGTCATTTCATCATTTGGTTTTGTTGAAAGTCCCTTAGATCCTTGTATATACCAGAAAGTTAGTAGGAGTAAAATCTGTTACCTTGTTTTATATGTGGATGATATCCTACTCGCCACTAATGAGGTGGGGATGCTTCGCGACGTGAAACAGTTCCTTTCCAAAAATTTTGATATGAAAGATATGGGTGAAGCATCTTATGTCATTGGCATAAAGATTCATAGGGATAGGTCTCGAGGCATACTGGGTCTATCGCAGGAAACCTATATTAACAAAGTTTTGGAAAGATTTCGGATGAAAAATTGTTTACCGTATGTTGCTCCCATTGCAAAAGGAGATAAGTTTAGTTTGGACCAATGTCCTAAGAACGACTTGGAGAAGGAGCGTATGAAGGATATTCCATATGCTGAAGCGGTTGGATGTCTTGGCTATATTCAAGTTTGTACAAGGCCCGACATTGCCTTTTCCGTTGGTATGTTAGGGCGGTACTTGCATAATCCAGGCTTGGACCACTGGGGAGCTCTGAAGAGAGTTCTGAGGTATCTCAAAGGTACTAAAGACTTCAAGTTGGGTTTTAGGCAGATGGACATCCTGGATGTTGTTGGTTATTCTGATGCGGACTTCGCTGGCTGTGTTGATTCTCGGAGATCAACTTCCGTGTACGTCTTCATATTGGCTGGTGGGGCAATTTCATGGAGAAGTGTTAAACAATCCTTAATAACTACTTCTACCATAGAAGCCGAGTTCGTGTCCTATTTCGAGGCTACTTCGCAAGGTGTGTGGCTCAAGAATTTCATCTCCAGGCTTAGAATTGTGGATTCTATATCTAAGCCATTGAAAGTTTACTATGACAACTTAGCTGCAGTCTTCCTAACTAAGAATGAAAAATGTGGGAGTCGAAGTAAACACATCGACATCAAGTTCTTAGCCATTAGGGAGCGTGTCAAGAATAAAGTTGTATTCATTGAACACATTAATACTGAGTTGATGCTAGCAGATCCCTTGACTAAAGGCATGGCTCCGTCTAAATTCAAGGATCTGATTCAGAAAATGGGACTTTCGTCCACTTTGTAATTTTGTATATACATTCAGTTTAATAATAAAATTCTTTTGCACTTCAATGTTTCTTCAGATACTTCAGATATTTTCTTTGAGTGTGTACACAATTCAGTTTTATCTCAATAAGAAAATATACTTCAGTGGACTTGAAATGAACATATGGTTTGTTTCATTAAGTTTGATTACCTAAAGGACTCAAGGGCAATTTGCATTTGATCATAATGGATATTACTTGCGCTAAGGAGGACATATCATTATGGTTGGTGTAAATCTTGTTCTTGGGTTCCGTATTTGCACCAAGTGGGAGAATGTAACGTTTTCCCTTAATATTATTATTATTATTAAGATTATTATAACAATAATAATATTAAATAAGTGGTGCAAATCAATAGGCTGACTAAGTATTAGAACTTAGTCAGCATTAGGTAATTAGTTACCTACATTGATGGGATGTAGGTTATTTAGACTCCCAAGTCCTCTCACTGCTCAGTTGACGTATCATACACCATCTACAATCACTGAGAGAAGTGAGAGAAACACAATAGAATCTACGGTGATTCTACGATAACATTACAGCAGCCCGAGGGACTCCCGCCCGTCAGACTACGAGTCCAGGCGATCAAGGTTCTATCAGAAATATAAGCTATGGCTGGAGGTTAGTGGTCCTGACTTTTGTTTATTACCACGTATATAGTATGCTTTACGTGGATCAATGTGCTTACAATATATATATATATATATATATATATATATATATATATATATATATATATATATATATATATATATATATATATATATATATATATATATATATATATATATATATATATTGATCTAGAAGATCTAACGGTTGGAAATAAAAAAACTTTGTAATATTTATGAAAATGATCCCTCTCATTTTAAAAATTTGTAATCTTTACGAAAATGACCCCGCTCATTTTTTACTTGATTTCTCATCCATCAGATCTTGCGGATTAATTATTTTTATTTGTCCACAAGTTCTCACCTAGGGAGTGGTTCTTATATGGTTAGGATTATATATAAATTATATATTTTTTATTTTTTATTTATTGATATTGAAGACATTTAAATATATTATTGAACATAACTTACATTACCCCACAATCAGAACTAAACACACAAGACAACAACATTCATGCCACGGAATATGGAACGGGAATGGGAATGGAAACATTGTTATTAAATTGTATTAAGATGCTTAACAACAAGTGCTTTACAAAGCTCTCACATGTTTTAAGAGAGGTGAACAAGTGCGATGACCACTTGGCGAACATGGGGCACAGAGGTGAGACTGTTGGGGGATGCAAGTGATGGATCTCCCGCCGAAGAGCATGGTGGACCGCTTGCAGTTTGACTCGCCTGGGATTGTCACATGGTGAGTGCAAGGGTACTTGGCTCACTTTTAAGATCACGTGATACGTCGTGGTTTTAAAGAAGGGTATAACCGGTGGATATGGCATGTTGGAGGTCTACTCCGTAGTAGTAGTGGTAGTGCTAATAAGGAGAATGATGATAATGATGGAGACAATGGTCAAATATATGAAATGATTCGTGATATGCAAGGAGATTATAGTGAAATGCCTCATGTATTTGAAAGTTTGTTGATTAAAAATAACCTCTGTTCCTTGGATGTGCCAAATTTAAAAAGTTATATGTTGTGCTTAAAATGTATAACTTAAGGCAAAATATGGGTGGAGTAATAAGAGATTAAAGGATTTATTAGAACTTTTAAAAGGCATGCTTCCTGATGATAACGAACTTTCTAGTTCAATCTATGAGGCCAAGAAAATGGTGTGTCTGTTGGGTATGGAGATCAAGAAGATACATGCATGTTCAAATGATTGTGTATTTTATTGGAAAGAATATAGTGACTTGCATGCATGTCCAAGTGTGGAGCATCACGTTGTAAGAGAAAAAACATTATTGTAACGACCCAAAATTTTATTTTATAAATCCAATTTTAAAAAATTTCAAAATAGCCATTTTCCCTCCATTAAAAATTTTTACAATTAATTGGTGTTTGAATAAATTATTTTCGTCACATTTTAAATTAATTCAACACCAAAATTTATTCTATTCGAAAATTCCTAAATTTTCGGGTACTTCGCGTTCCAAGATTTAAATCGAGAAATTATCTGAGTGAGACCGAGAGAATTCAAAAAGATTTTTAAACAAGTGTTCATCTAAATAGCTTTTGAGAAAATTCTTTTTCAACCCCAAAGAATTTAAAGTTAGCATTTTCAACCTTGGTCCATGGAGCATGGTGGACCACTAGATATCCAAAAACACTTGCCTGATTCAATTTCTAGCCAATGGAAATTACATTTTTGCCATCAACCAATCATATGGGATCAAACTAGGGTTTTGTGCTCCTATAAATAGAACCCTTATCGGCCTTTGTCTCTTTGATTCCACTCCTTGCTTCCCATTTATCAGCTTTGCAAGACAACACGTAGTAAGCTTC